TGAAAAATCGAAATAAAAAAAATTCGAAAAATGGAAAAATTGGAAAATTGAACCATCGAGACATAACATTTTAAAATCCAGCAATGGAAAAATTCCCAAAATTGAAGTGTTGAAAAGCTGAGAAATCGAAACATGGGATTATGAAAAAATAAAAAAAGTAGAAAAATTGAAGTCTTAAAGACTGAAGAATCGAAAATTCGAAAAATCAAAAATCGAAAATTAGAAACATTGAAAATTCGAGTATCGAAAACCGAAAAGTAAAAAATTGAGAATCCTAAAAATTGAAGAACGGAAAAATTAAAATCGGAAATTCAAAAAAATTAAAACTCGAAGAACGAAAATTTGGTGAAACAAAAAATCGGAAATTCAAAAGTCCAAGAATCGAAAAATGAAAATTCTAAAATTGAAAAATCGAAATTAAAATAATTCGAAAAATGGAAAAGTCGTAAAACCGAGAAATACAAATATTGAAAAACTGAAACATCGAGATATCGAAACATCAGAAGGTCGAAAAATCGGAAAGTAGAGAAGTCGAGAAATCGACAAACCGAAAAATCTAAAATTAAAAATGTATTGAAAAATTTAAAAATCCAGCAATGTAAAATTTCCCAAAATTGAAGTGTTGAAAACCTGAGAAATTGAAAAGTTTTAAACATTGAAAAACTGATGAGAAATCGAGAAATGGAAAAATCGAAACATGGGATTATTAAAAAATTTAAAAATCGAAAAACTAAAAGACAACGAAAAAATGAAAAATCGAAAAACTGAAAATTTGGGAATCGAAAAGTAAAAGTATTGAAAAGTCTGAAAGACCGAAGAATTGAATAACTGAAAATTCGAGTATCGAAAATTAAAAAATCAAGGTTAAAAAAATTCGATCAAACAAAGTAAACAAACCGAAAACTCAAAAGTCTAAAAATCGAAAATCAAAAATTTCGAAAAATCCAGGAATCGAAATGTCGAAAGTCGAAATATCGGAAATTCTAAAATCGAAAAATCGAAATTAAAAAAATTCTAAAAATGGAAAATCGAAGAACCGAGAAATCGAAATATTGAAAAATTCATATATCAAGATATCGAAACGTCAAAAAGTCGAAAAATCGACATTTAAAAATTACTTTTTCGATTTTTCAATTTTTGGATTTAAAAAAATCGTAAAATCGAAAAAAAAGGAAAAATTGTAATTTCGAAAAATTACAACTTAGAAATCCAAAAATTGCAAACCTGAAAAAATTAAAAATTGGAAACAGAGGAACTGGAAAATCGAAGATGGCAAATTTGAAAAATTGAACAAACGAAAAATTATAGAAGAGAGAATCTAAAAACCGTTGAAAAATAAAGGCAATGGAAAAACAAAAAATTTTAAAATAAAAACGAGAAAATGAAAATTAAAAAATCGGGAAAATGAAACAAAAAACAAGAACTTGAAAAATTGAGGATACGAAAAATTAAAAATTGAGAAACTGATAAATCGAAAAACGAAGATCTGTTATTTCCAAAAATTACAATTAAGAAATCCAAACACTGCAAAACTGAAAAATTTTAAAATTGGAAACCGAGGAATTGAAAAATCAAAGACTTAAAAGTTGAAAAATTGAATAAACAAAAAAGTGTGATATAAAAACGAAAAAGTGAAAATTAAAAAATCTGGAAAAAATATAAAAATCAAGAATCTGAAAAATTGAAAATTCGAAAAATAAAAAATTGGGAAACTGCAAAATCGAAAAAAGGAAAATTTAAATAGATATAGAAAAACTGAAAAAAATAAAGTTTAAAAAGTAAAAAATGACGAAACACTGGAAAATGGAAAAATTAAAGAAAATGGAAAAAATTGTGATTTCAAAAAATTGTAAAATCGAAGAAAAAGGGAAAATTGTAATTTCGAAAAATTACAACTGAGAAATTCGAAAATTGCAAACCTGAAAAATTAAAAATTGGAAACAGAGGAACTGGAATATCGAACATTGAAAATTTGAAAAATTGAACAAACGAAAAATTATAGAAGAGAGAAACCGTTGGAAACTAAAGGAATGGAAAAACGAAGTTTTAAAATAAAAACGAGAAAATGAAAATAAAAAAATCGGGAAAATGAAACATAAACAAGAACTTGAAAAATTGAGGATACCAAAAATTAAAAATTGAGAAACTGAAAAATCAAAAAACGAAAAATTACAGTTGAGAAATACAAAAATTGTTAAACTGCAAAATTTAAAAATCGGAAACAGAGGAACTGGAAAATCAAAGACTGAAAATTTGAAAAATTGAACAAACGACAAATTTTGATGCAAAAACTAGAAAATGAACATTAAAAATGCGAGAAAATGAAACATCAAAATCAAGAATTTGAGGAATTAAAAAAAACGGAAAATTACAACTGAGAAATCCAGAAATTGCAAAAAACAGAAAAATGGAAAAGCGACAAATACATTAATTAAAATTGTAAAATATAAAAAAATCGAAAAATCTAAAGATTGGATTTTCCTGTTCTTCAGTTCTTTAATTTTTCAGGTTTTTGACTTTTCAATTTTTCGATTTTTTAAGGTTTCCAATGTGTCTACATAATTATTTTCGGTTTTTCAATTTTTGGATTTTTCAATCTTGTGATATTTTATTATTTTTCAGTATTTCTTAATCTTTCGACTTCCTGGTTAGATGTTCTGTTTTTCAATTTGTTAATTTTTCATTCCCGATTTATCCAGATTTGATTGTTCAGGTTTGCGATTTATCAGTTTTTCAATTGTTATTTTGGCCTATTTCGTTTTCTCAGTTTTTCCAGTTTTCCATTTTTTCGTTTATTGATTTTTCTGTTTTTCCAATTTTTCAATTTTTAACTTTTTGTTTGTCGATTTCTCTATTTTTCGACTTCATCACTTTTCGATTTCTCGTTATTTTGATCTTTCAATCCCAATTTTTCAAATTTTTAAGTTTTTTGATTTCTCGATTTATCGAGATTTGGATTTTTCGATATTTTGATTGTCAATTTCTCAATTTATAAAAATATATATATATAAACTTACCGATTTTGGCCTATTTCGGTCTCTCAATTGTTCGACTTTTCGACTTCACGATACCTTGATCTTTTGATTTTTCGAATTCTCAGTTTTTCGAAATTTTAGTTTTGGGATTTTTCAGTTTACTTGTTATTTAATTTTTCGATCTTACGATTTTGCAGGTTTTTTCAAGTTTTCAATTTTTTTAAGGTTTCGATATTTCGACCTCACTTTTTTGATTTTTCGATTTCTCAGTTTTTGGACATTTCAGTTTTGGGATTTTTCAGTTTACTTGATATTCAGTTTTTTGATCTTACGATTTTGCAGGTTTTTGATTGTTCAATTTTTCGATTTTTTTAAGGTTTCGATATTTCGACTTCACTTTTTTGATTTTTCAATATTTCAATTCTTCGGCTTTTCTATTTTTGACTTCTGGATTTTTCGATGTATCGACTTTTTACTTTTTCGATTTTAAAATTTTAGATTTCTCAATTTTTTGGTATTTTAATTTTTCAATATTTAAATTTTTTGATTTTTCGATTTCTCGATTTTTCATTTCAGCTCTTCCATATTTCAATTTTTCAAATGTTTCGATTTCTTAATATTTCGATTTTTCGACTTCCCGGTTTTAGATTTTCTGTTTTTCAATTGTTCTATTTTTAAATTTTAGATTTTTCAGTTTTTTGATATTTTAATTTTTCAATATTTAAAATTTTAGATTTTTCGATTTCTCGATTTTTCATTTCAGTTCTTCGATATTTCAATTTTTCAAGTTTTCGAATTTTTCAAGTGTTTCGATTTCTTAATCTTTTGATTTTTCGACTTCTCGGTTTTAGATTTTCTGTTTTTCAATTGTCATTTTGTCAAATTTCGTTTTTTTAATTTTTCAAATTTGAGTTTTATAAACTCACAATTTTTCGATTTTTCAATTAATCGATGTTTTGATTTTCCCATTCTTGACCTTCGAGTGTTTCGATTTCCTGTTCTTCAATTCTTTAATTTTTCAGGTTTTTGATTTTTCAATTTTTCGATTTTTTAAGGTTTCTATTTTTCGACTTCACTTTTTTGATTTTTCAATATTTCAATTCTTCGGCTTTTCTATTTTTGACTTCTGGATTTTTCGATGTGTCTACCTTATTACTTTTTCGATTTTTAAATTTTAGATGTTCTGTTTTTCAATTTTTCGATTTGTTAATTTTTCATTCCCGATTTATGGAGATTTGATTGTTCAGGTTTTCGATTTATCAGTTTTTCAATTTTTTATTTTAGCCTATTTCGGTTTCTCAGTTTTTCCAGTTTTCCATTTTTTCGTTTTGTAATTTTTCCGCTTTTCCATTCGTCAATTTTTAACTTTTTGTTTGTCGATTTCTCTATTTTTTGATTTTTCGACTTCATCACCTTTCGATTTCTCGTTCTTTTGATCTTTTAATCTCTCAATTTTTCAATTTTTCGAATTTTTGATTGTCAATTTCTTAATTTATAAATTGTTCAATTTTTAACTTTTCGACTCCACGATTTCTAGATCTTTTGATTTTTCGCTTTCTCGATTTTTCGTTATTCGGTTTTTAAATTTTAGATTTTTTGAATTTTACATTTTTTCGATTTTCTGATGTTCCATTTTTCGATTATTTTTGTTTTTCATTTTTTTTCACCCTGTCAATATCATACAAAAATTGTCACTAAAAACATTAAAAATTCACACAAAATAGAACAGTGCCCAACCAAATCGCGTCTGAACGCTTAGAGTCGACATTCGCCTGAGCGCGCTCTGGTCTATAGATCAAACAAGTTCTCAGGCGACGAGTTGTAGTCAAACAAGTTTTTTTATTGGCATCGACTATTTAAATTTGGCGCTTGAGGACTCCAATGTCAATAAGAGTGGTTTTGCAAAATCAGCCTGTATGTCGCATCTATATTAATCTATGCTTTTGCATTGACGTTTCGAAGTGATGATTTCTTGGTTGCCTATATTCTAGGGAAACAACTGGTAAATCTCTCCAAACCCTCAACGTACATAAATATTTTATTAATATAAAACATTGGCACTAAAATAAAATTAATGACAATAATATGACGCGTCGCAACTCTAATGGGCACTTATTAAGTATACATACTATCCAACTTGAAATATTCGTATGACTTTGAAATCACTCTCCTTGCTAACTCTTAACAATAATGACTATTACACACCTTTAAATCTCTATACGTAGTTATAATAAAATAGTACAAACAATGAACATCGTTAAAAATAACCATATTAACTAATTACATTAAAACACTCCCTAACTTCAGTTCCTTTATTACTCAAACCCCTCAAGTCTGCCTCTCCACGTTAAACGGGTAATCATACTCGTTCAAAATCTGTTGCATAGTCTTCGCCTTAATAACCGGAAACTGAAACTACAAAAACCCTAATCACAACCCCTAAACCACCTTAAACTCACCCTGTCGGCAGTCGTCGAGTTCAAAAATTTCGGATTCGGTATAAATGGCACCCCATCTAAATTACTAGTAGTGCTACCACTGAGGGTTGACGTAGTGGACCCTATGGCAAAACCGTCAATTGTGCGTTGTTTTGACTATTGTTGTTACCTTGATGTGGTACTGGGGGCGCTGGAGGCTTAGGCGCCGGTCGCGACGGTCCCGTGGGATAACCCGGAGGTTTGAGTATTTCGTAATCATGGTCGCCCCCGTCGCTCGCGATGCTGGGGTACATGGGGGCGCCCCCGGTGATGGGAGGGGCGGGTCTGGGGGGGCGGTCGGGAGGCGAGGGGGCGACGTTGTAACTGCGGCCGTTTGCGTCGGGGCTGCTTTGACTGTCCTGGACGTTGCCCATTTTGAAGCAGACGGTGACGCCGTTGAGTTCACTGGAAAGGGGTTGCGTAAAAATTTATAACGTTCTTTGTAGCTAACGGAATCCGGCTAATTTACATTCCGCCCACTTCCAGTTAGTTTAATGACAACGACATACTCATTCTTTTATTTACTGAATGTGATTGCGGTTGTATAAAGTTCTATTACAAACAAAAGAAGTTTGAGGTCCAAATTTAACAGTTAGTGAGTCATGCTCCTAGCGGTAATTTATTTGGTTGTTTAATTTGTTTAGTCATTGTGAATTAACGGAGTTAATTAATTAAGACGAGGCGAAAAATATGGGAGTTTGCGAAATTTCTAGCGTTGCTTCATTTAAATAAATTCCAATGCGAGATTTATTTGATGATGAGAGTGGTAGTCATGGGGAGTTTGGATTAGTCATCAATCTCCATTTAAAGCTTGTAAATCAATTATTTTTTTAAACGGACGCGACCTGATAAAATTGTGTCGCTTTTAAAATAAAAAGTTGGTCGGTTATTTCGACTAAACTTCCCTCGCCCCTAAAGTTCAGCCTAACAAGATTTTCAGTTTTTTGTTTCTTCAAATTTTCGGTTTTTTCAATTTTTCGATGTGCGATTTTTCATTATTTTTTATTCTTCGATTATTAATTTCTCAATATTTTGTTCCTTTTTGATTTTTAATTTTTTCGATTTAATTTTTCAATTTTCGATCTTTCTATATTTCAGTTTTTGGTGTTACCATTTTGACGATTTCATAAATTTTCGTTTTCATAATTTTTCGATTTTCCAATTTTTCGAACCAAAAAATGAAAAATTGCAACATTGTAAAACAAAAATGAAAAAAAAAACGAAACACTATAAAATGAAATCTTTGAAAAATTCGAAATCAAGAATAGATTTTTAAAATCAAAGATTGAAAATTTAAAGAATCGAATAAGTGAAAAATTATAAAACCGAAAGAAACATTGAAAAAATAAAAAATCGGGAAAATGAAAAATAAAAATCACTCAGAACTTGAGAAAACGAAAAACTAAAAATTGAGAAACTGATAAATCGAAAAACGAAGATTTGTAATTTCCAAAAATTACAACTAAGAAATCCAAAAATTGCAAAGTTGAAAAATTGAATAAACAAAACAGTGATATAAAAACGAGAAAGTGAAAATTAAAAAATCTGGAAAGAAAAAATCAAGAATTTGAAAACTTGAGGGAACGAAAATTTGAAAATTCGAAAAACTGAAAAAATCAAAGTTTAAAAAGTCAAAAATGATGAACCCGAAACACTGAAAAATGGAAAAAACAAAGAAAATGGAAAAAATTGTGATTTCAAAAAATTGTAAAATCGAAGAAAAAGGAAAAATTGTAATTTCGAAAAATTACAACTGAGAAACCCAAAAATTGCAAACTTGAAAACATGAAAAATTGGAAACAGAGGAACTGGAAAATCGAAGACTGAAAATTTGAAAAATTGAAAATTCGAAAAATAAAAACAAAAAGGAAAATTTAAACAGAAATAGAAAAACTGAAAAAATTAAAGTTGAAAAAGTTAAAAATGATGAACCCGAAACACTGAAAAATAAAAAAGAAAAATCAAAGAAAATGGAAAAAATTGTGAGTTCAAAAAATTGTAAAATCGAAGAAAAAGGAAAAATTGTAATTTCGAAAAATTACAACTGAGAAATCCAAAAATTGCAAACCTGAAAAAATTAAAAATTGGAAACAGAGGAACTGGAAAATCGAAGATTGAAAATTTGAAAAACTGAACAAACGAAAAATTATACAATCTAAAGAACCGTTGAAAAATAAAGGAAATGGAAAAACGAAAATTGTTTAATTAAAAAAGCGGAAAAATGAAACATCAAAATCAAGAATTCGAGAAATTAAAAAAAACGGAAAATTACAACTGAGAAATCCAAAAATTACAAAACTGAAAATTTTAAAAACTGGAAACAGAGGAACTGAAAAATCAAAGATTGAAAATTCGAAAAATTGAACAAATGAAAAATTATTGAATCTAAAGAACTGTTGAAAAAATAAATAAAATAGAAAAACGAAAAATTTGGATATAAAAACGTGAAAATGAAAATTAAAAAACCGGGAAAACGAAACATAAAAAAGACAAGAACTTGAAAAATAGAAATTGATAAATCGAAACACGAATAATTGCAACTTCGAAAAATTACAATTGAGAAATCTAAAAATTGCAGAACTGAAAAATTTAAAAATTGAAAACAGAGAAACTGAAAAATCAAAGATTCAAAATTTGAAAAATTGAACAAACAAAAAATTATTGAATCCAAAGAAACTGTGAAAAAATAAAGGAAATGGAAAAACGAAAAATTTTGGCATAAAAACGAGAAAATGAAAATGAAAAAAATCGGGACAATGAAACAAAAGATAAGAACGTGAAGAATTGGTAAAAAGAAAAATCGGGAAATTAAAAATTGAGAAACTAATAAATCGAAAAACGAAAATTTGTAATTTCGAAAAATTGAATAACGAAAAAATTTGATATAAAAACGAGAAAATGTAAATTAAAAAATCGGGAAAATGAGATGTAAAAATCAAGAACTTGAGAAATTGAGAAAACGAAAAATTAAACATTGAGAAACTGAAAAATCGAAAAACAAAAACTTGTAATTTCGAAAAATTATAATTAAGAAATCCAAAAATTGCAAAAATGAAAAAACGAAAGTGTGACAAAAACGAGAAAATGAAAATTAAAAAATCTGGAAAATAAAAAATAAAAATCAAGCATTTGAAAAATTGGGGAAGGAAAAATTTTAAAATTCGAAAAATAAAAAATTGAGAAATTGAAAAATCGAAAATCTAAAAATTGCAAAACTGAAAAATTAAAAAATTGGAAACAGAGAAACTGAAAAATCAAAGATTCAAAATTTGAAAAATTGAACAAACAAAAAATTATTGAATCCGAAGAAATTTTGAAACAATAAAGGAAATGGAAAAACGAAAAATTTTGGTATAAAAACGAGAAAATGAAAATTAAAAAATCGAGAAACCGATAAATCGAAAAACGAAAAATTACAATTGAGAAATCTAAAAATTGAAGAACTGAAAAATTAAAAAAATGGAAACAGAGAAACTGAAAAATCAAAGATTCAAAATTTGAAAAATTGAATAAACAAAAAATTATTGAATCCAAAGAAACTTTGAAAAAAATAAAGGAAGTGGAAAAACGAAAAATTTTGGTATAAAAATGAGAAAATGAAAATTAAAAAATCGGGACAATGAAACAAAAGGTAAGAAGGTGAAGAATTGGCAAAAAGAAAAATCGGGAAATTAAAAATTGAGAAACTAATAAATCGAAAAACGAAAATTTGTAATTTCGAAAAATTAACTGACAAATTTAAAAACTGAATAAATGAAAAATTATAGAATCTAAAGAAACGTTGAAGAAATAAAGGAAATGGAAAACGAAAAAATTTGATATAAAAACGAAAAAATGAAAATTTAAAAATCGGGAAAATAAAAATCAAGAATTTGAAAAATCGAAAAACGAAAAATTACAATTGAAAAATTCAAAAATTGTAAAACTGAAAATTTTAAAAAATGGAAACAGAGGAACTAAAGAATCAAAGATTGAAACTTTGAAAATCTGAACAAACGAAAAATTATAGAATCCACAGAAACGTTGCAAAAATAAATGAAATGGAAAAACGAAAAAATTTGATATAAAATCGAGAAAATGAAAATTAAAAAATCGAGAAACAGATAAATCGAAAAACGAAAAATTACAATTGAGAAATCTAAAAATTGCAGAACTGAAAAATTAAAAAAATGGAAACAGAGAAACTGAAAAATCAAAGATTCAAAATTTGAAAAATTGAACAAACAAAAAATTATTGAATCCAAAGAAACTTTGAAAAAAATAATGGAAATGGAAAAACGAAAAATTTTGGTATAAAAATGAGAAAATGAAAATTAAAAAATCGGGACAATGAAACAAAAGGTAACAACGTGAAGAATTGGCAAAAAGAAAAATCGGGAAATTAAAAATTGAGAAACTAATAAATCGAAAAACGAAAATTTGTAATTTCGAAAAATTAACTGAAAATTTTAAAAACTGAATAAATGAAAAATTATAGAATCTAAAGAAACGTTGAAAAAATAAAGGAAATGGAAAAACGAAAAAATTTGATTTAAAAACGAGAAAATGAAAATTAAAAAATCGGGAAAATGAAACGTAAAAATCTAGAACTTGAGAAATTGAGAAAACGAAAAATTAAACATTGAGAAACTGATAAATCGAAAAACAAAAACTTGTAATTTCGAAAAATTACAATTAAGAAATCCAAAAATTGCAAAACTGAAAAATGTAACAATTGGAAACCGAGGAATTGAAAACTCAAAGATTGAAAATTTGAAAAAACGAAAAAGTGTGATATCAAAACGAGAAAATGAAAATTAAAAAAGCTGGAAAATAAAAAATAAAAATCAAGAATTTGAAAAATTGGGGGAAAGAAAAATTGAAATAGAAATAGAAAAACTCAAAAAAATTAAAGTGAAAAAGTCAAAAATTATGGACCCAAAACATTGAAAAATGAAAAAATTGAAAAATCAAAGAAAATGGAAAAAATTGTTATTTAAAAAATTGTAAAATCGAAGAAAAAGGAAAAATTGTAATTTTGAAAAATTACAACTGATACAAAAACGAGAAAATGAAAATTAAAAAAACGGGAAAATGAAACATCAAAATTAAGAATTTCAGAACTTAAGAAAACGAAAAATTACAATTGAGAAATCCAAAAATTACAAAACTGAACAATTTAAAAATTGGAAACCGGGGAATTGAAAAATCAAAGATTGAAAATTTGAAAAAACGAAAAAGTGTGATATAAAATCGACAAAAAGAAAATTAAAAAATCTGTAAAATAAAAAATAATTGAAAAATTGAAAAAACGAAAGATTTAAATAGAAATAAAAATAAAGTTAAAGTTGAAAAAGTCAAAAATTATGACGAAACTTTGAAAAATGGGAAAATGGATGAATTGAAGAAATTGGAAAAACGAAAAACTGTGACACCAAAAAACTGGTCGAAGGTAAATAAATCTAGATTTTTCGGAAAATTATAACACTCGACTTTGCGAATTTTACTTTTTATGATAACCCTTATAAGTTAAAATATGGAGTGGGTCGTTGTTGATATTAATTTATACAATAAACTACCTCATTTATTATTATTTTTTGAGTCACCTGTATAAGTAATTCTAAAATCTATGACTTCTATGAGTGATAAACCACAATTACACAGTAATGAAATTTTGCATAGTTCAGAGAGAATTTATTCGGCAAAATTTTGAGATGACGTCATCCCGTTGTTGGTGGGGATGTTTATCTGTCCAATAAAAATTCAGACAGACGGAAACGGGAGACCTATTGTTTCTTTTGTACACTAGGAGTCATGAAACGTCGTAATTTTGTAATAAAAATTCCAAACTGCGCATTTTTAACAACCAAACTAATATTTACTGAGACAATTAAACCCATTGTTGCAAAAAACGAGCGCTAAACATAAATGAGCCAAAATCAATAAACTTACAACTTGTAATAATTCCACCATGACAACTTTTATGACATATAACGCGTATCCCCATTATTTACCCAATATTATTTGTTTTATCTAACATCTGAATGCACTTACATCACATAAACACATATAAAAAACGATAAAGTAAATTGGAACAGAGATAACTTAAAATAATACACAAAACAACACAGACTGAATTAATTCACTTTCCCACAACCACATCAAATTCATAACCCTGAACAACAATTACCACGACCTTGACTCTATCAATTTACAAAGCAAACGACAAAAACTCACCCAGCGAGTTTAAACCCTTCAGGAGCCTTCTTCAATCGACTACAAACAATAATATCAGTAATGGCAACTCTTGTCTCTCTTAGATCCACTAATTTGTAACAGAGCTGCTTCTTCTTCCACGCTCTTTGTTCACTATCGACAGTTCTATTCAACAAACTAAAACCAGCCGGGGGGTTAAATTTATCAGTCAGGACGAAAATCTCCTGAATCACTAAATTGGGGAGACCTGTAAGACACAGCTGTATTTAAGTTGGTGTAAACACGTCCGTACCTTCTGTCTTTGAAACGCACAAATACCTAGCCGAACTACTTTTAAAAATTGAGCTTTCTCTTAAATCGGCATCTTGGTCCTGGTCGTACGTTCTACTAATGGGGTGAAAACCCTTGGGGCATTTGTCTAAGTTTTCGACAATCTGGAGAGGTTATGTTAGGTTGATTGTCTTTCTATTATTAATGATAATGATAAAAGTACTTACTCGGATGGCTGTGATCGGCCTGTCGTTTGGTAAAACATTCAGTACTTTAGTCTCTGCAGAGGATTTTAACATTGTATTCAGTCTTCAGGGGTGTCTCTACAAAAAACAAAGACAACAGTCACGAACTGACAACAAAACCGCAACCTCGCACCTTCCATCGCACACAAATAGCGAAATGTTTAAACAATCTATTAATAAAATATTAGTCAATAAAGCCGAACGGTGACGCAATTTTCGAAGATGCTCTTTCTACTTTTTAACAACTGCACCTACCTTCACTCGCAATTTTGACCTTGTGGGAGTTGCTCCTTCTATTAATAAATTATTCGTCGAACATGGTAGAAACGGCAGTAGTTGGGGATGTTTTGATATGTTTTGAGCGATTCTTGCGGTTTTGTCTTATCTTATCTTAGTTTGAACGGAGAACAATTGAACGCCCGCACGATTAAAATTGCAGCGGCGACTGGATGAAATTAGTCATTTCGTAAGCAACCAATCCCGGCTTTTTCTGGGTTAATGGGCGCTTAAATGGTTTCAAAGGGCATCACCCGCATTTCCGGGCGACGTCTTGCGGTTTTTAAAAGGCTTCGAGACGAAGATTTCGCAAAAACGGGGTTGGGGTGAACGGGATTTTTTTCGCAGGTTGGCGACACTGGGTGGGTTTTTTTAAGCAAAATTATTTATTTATGGATGGAGTATCGTGGGACTATTGATTTTGTGGCCAGTTTGTTCTTTTTTAAGAGTTTTCAGGGTTGTTTCAGCGTATATTTGAGTTCCTTGTTTTGACGACTAAATTATAATTATCTATTAATGGGCTAAATATGTGGAATTTATCCGCTTTTTCACCGTTATTTTAAAAAAACAAATCTTTTGGTGACAAGTGTGACTGCACACATTTTTTTACAAATTAGCTCCGCCCCTTTCGCTCCGACAACGAATGAAAAATTCATCACATTTGAGGTTATTTTTTTTTTAAATACATAGGCCCGAATTCAGCAACCATTATTAAATTTAGCAACCAGTGGTTAAATCTGTAAATAGGGTTGTCTAACTTTGACCTATTCAGCTGCCTCTTTTAGCGCTAAACAGGGCATTTTAGCGGCGGACGAACTGTCAATTTAGCAACGCTATTTAAACGCGGGTAGGGGCATGTTTACAGCCGTTGTTAGTGAAAATGGCGGGGTTCGCACGAGACATCGAAGACGTTGTTAATATTCGCGAAGGATTCGGTGTGAATGTTGAACATGTTCGACATGTGAGACCGCGCAAAGATCCGTTTGAGGAGTATAGTGATCGCGAATTTCGCAACCGTTATCGGTTGACGAAAGACGCTGTACACTTCGTGATTGATTTGGTGCGAGGAGATCTGGAACATCTTTCGGATCAAGCCTTGAACATTTCTCCAGCTCTCCAGGTACTGGTGACTGAGGTATTTTGCTAAAGGATGCTATCAAACAGAGCTAGGTAAGTTTCATTCAATATGTAACTAAAGTGTAAGTGAAATTAACGTTATGTTTGTGAAAAGGTATTTTGTATTGCCCTTGATTTTGTGTCGCAGGCGATCTGCATGGGATTAGCCAACCGTCAGTGTCACGAATTGTACACCGGGTGTCACGAGCTATTGCAGGAATGTTACCACGTTTTGTTCATTGGCCTCAGGATATAGAGAGGGTGAAACAGGATTTTTACGATGTGGCCCACTTTCCAAACATCGTTGGGTGTGTTGACTGCACACACATCAAGATTAAAAATCCGGATGGTTCTCGCCCTTTATTGTACTGTAACCGCAAGGGATTTTATTCGGTCAATGTACAAGTTGTGTGTGATGCTACCAGTCGCATTACACATATTGTCGCTCGATGGAGAGGCAGTGTTCATGACTCCAGAATCTGGAATAACTGCACCCTGAAGGATGACTTTGAGCACGGCAGAAAGACAGGCATTTTATTAGGTGACAGTGGATATGCATGCACACCATACATGCTCACGCCTCTTCTGAACACCCACAATGCAGCAGAAGAAGCATACAATAGAGCGCACAAAGCCACACGTGTGACAGTGGAGTGCTGTTTTGGAAGATGGAAATCCATGTTTCGAGCTCTCCAGAACAACATGCAAGTGTCACTGGATACCGCAAAAGCCTGCATATCAGCCATAGCAGTGCTATACAACATCAAGCTCAGTTATGATGACAACTTTGAATATGATGGTAAGAATTTATTTAGTAAAAATAATATATTAATAAAAACACAAATGCAGATAATGAGGATATCGAAGATGAGGAGCCTGTAGAAGAGGAGGCGGTAGTAGCAGAACAAATGGCTGGAAATTTGTTCCGACAACAATTTATTCGCCAACATTTCCAACGGTAGATGTGATCTGCAGGTTTGTAAAATAGCAGTCTTATAGAAACACTTTATATATGCAAACAATTAATTAATTTAACAATACAATACTTTAACAAATAAGTTATAATTATTGTTCCTTTTGTTTGTTCAGCATATCTATTTTTAATTGTTTGGCTTTGAGTTTTAAATTTAAAAGGTCCAATTCTTTAAAATAAATGGCTCTTTCCATTTCAATTTTTTGCTCTATATGTCGCTCATGCAACTTGAGCATGCTCTCTTCAAATTCACTCATCGGCTTTTTCCGTTTGTTTCGTTTAGGGGTGGCAGGAGCGACTGGTCTCACTGGTGTTGCAGACGGCGACAAGGAAGGTGTTTCTGCATGCAACGGTTCAGAAACACTAGAAACGTATTTTATGTTGTATTTTAACTTTTCAATATATAATTAATTACATACGTTTCTGTTATTTCAATTTCTCCCGTTATGGGATCTATTAGCCCCGTATATTCTTTGGGGGCATTGGCCATCTGAGGTCTGACAACTTCAGTGGCGGTCTTTCCCTCTGAATCATATGCAGATACATCTGCAGTAAAATCTACTGCAGATATATCTGCAATGATCCAGTCCAAATCTGTTGGATCTTCAGCAGAGGAAGGACCGCCACCGGTTTGATGTTGTGACCTTCGGTAGGCTGCAATTGTTGTTTTGGCATGCTGCTTTAACCGAAAGTACAGCATCTTCAATTTTGCTGGCTCTCTATACTGCCCCCGCGCCCTGAATTTTTCGGCCAATGCCTTCCACAGTTGTTGTTTCTTTATATTAATTCGCGGATCGCTTGCTTTCGATTCCAAAATTTCGGAATTGTCTGCCACAAATTGGACGAGGAACATCTTATCCTCCTCGGAAAAATTGCCCCCTCTGACGCGCTTATCCTTTTTTGCGGACATCTACGTCAAAAGCAATAAATACGAACGGGATAATAAACTGCCGTATATGCTTACTTTTGTAATTATTGCTGTATTAAGTATAGAAAACAACAGAAAAATTAAATTGTCGTTTTTGCGGCAATTTCAAACTGTCAAATTTGACAAGATACGCGACGTTGCCAAGTTGTTTATACGGCGCTGGCATTGCTAGCTAACAACGATCCTAAAATGAGTGCTGAATAGGACCGTTGCTAAAACCGTATCTAAGCGTTAGCAGCGCTGTTAACTAAACACGGCTTAAACATGAAAATAAACATGGTTGCTGAATACGGGCCATAGTTTTCTTTCAACAACTTTTTTAATTAAGCTCCGCCCTTCGACTAACGACGAATAAAAAAAGTCATAATTGAGACGAGGGCGGGGTTTGTCTTTCGCTTTTCTTTGTTAATATATGTACGAAGTTTTCTTTTAATGACAAGAAACAAAACATGCTTAAAAATGGTAAATTTTTAGAGAAATGTGGAGCATAAAATTGACCATTTTAAATATGTTTTCATTTTCTTGTTGTAAAAAGAAGACTAATTGTATAAAGAAAAAAGAAAATGAAAAACATAAGCCCCACCCACCCACCCTATCTCGATTGTGACGATTTTTTTTATTCGTCGAGAGTCAGGAGGGGCGGGGCTTGAGTTTAGCCTTTTTTCCTGTAGATACGTAATCGCATTTTCACAAAATAGTTAAAAACGTATTGAAAATGGTAAATTTTTGTCGGGAAATATTGATTTTACAATTAAGCTCCGCCCCTCGCTCCGACAACGAATGAAAAATTAATAACATTCGAGATTGGGGCGGGCGGGCGGGGCTTTTTTTTTCTTGACATACATAGTTTTCTTTAAACAACACGATACTTAAAACAAGTTTCACGTGGTAGATTCTTGTGGACAAATAAGCATTTTGTAATTAAGCTCCGCCCCTCGGCTCACGACGAATAAAAAAAGTCACAATTGAGACGAGGGCGGGTGGGCGGGGCTTGTACTTTGCTTTTCTTCGTTAATATATATGCGTAGTTCTCTTTTCATGACAAAAAACAAAAAATATGCTTAAAAATGGTACATTTTTAGAGAAAAGTGGGACATAATATTGACCATTTTAAACATGTTTTCAGTTTCTTGTTGTGAAAAGAAGACTAATTGCATGAAGAAAAAAAATTAAAAACATAAGCCCCACCTACCCACCCTATCTCAATTGTGACGATTTTTTCTTATTCGTCGTGAGTCAAGAGGGGCGGGGTTTAAGTTTAGGCTTTTTTCTGTAGATACGTAATCGCATTTTCACAGAATAGTTAAAAACATATTGAAAATGGTAAATTTTAGTCGGGAATTATTGATTTTACAATTAAGCTCCGCCCCTCGCTCCGACAACGAATGAAAAATTCATCACATTTGAAGTTGGGGCGGGCGGGTGGAGCTTTTTTTCTTGACATACATAGTTTTCTTTCAACAACATTATACTTAAAACATGTTTCACGTGGTAGATTCTTGTGGAGAAATAAGCATTTTGTAATTAAGCTCCGCCCCTCGGCTCACGACGAATAAAAAAAAGTCACAATTGAAACGAGGGCGGGTGGGCGGGGTTTGTGTTTGACTTTTGTTTGTTAATATATGTACGCAGTTTTCTTTTCATGACAAGAAACAAAAAATATGCATAAAAATGGTACATTTTTAGAGAAATGTGGGGCATAAAATTGACCATTTTAAACATGTTTTCAGTTTCTTGTTGTGAAAAGAAAACTAATTGTTTAAATAAAAAAAACTGAAAAACATAAGCCCCACCCATCCACCCTATCTCAATTGTGATGATTTTTCCTTATTCGTCGTGAGTCAGGAGGGGCGGGGCTTAAGTTTAGCCTTTTTTTTCTGGGATACGTAATCGCATTTTCACAAAATAATCAAAAACATATTGAAAATGGTAAATTTTTGTCGGGAAATATTGATTTTTCAATTAAGCTCTGCCCCTCGCTCCGACAACGAATGAAAAATTCATCAAATTAGAGGTGGGGCTTTTTTCTTGACATACATAGTTTTCTTTCAACAACATGATACGTAAAACATTTTCACGTGGTAGATTCTTGTGGAGAAATAAGCATTTTGTAATTAAGCTCCGCCCTTCGACTCACAACGAATAAAAAAAGTCACAATTGAGATGAGGGCGGGTGGGCGGGGTTTATATTTTACTTTTCTTTGTTAATATATGTACGCCGATTTCTTTTCATGACAAGAAACAAAAAATATGCGTAAAAGTGGTA